CCCAGGAGACCTGCTTATCCACTGGTGTCTTCTTCGGTAAAAAAATTAAAAGAAGATACCCTAAGTTGCTGAGTGGGGAAGTGTTTCTGCTTGTGTTTTAACTTTGGCTGTCAGGAATATCAAACGGTGTCATCTTTAGTTAGAGTATTTTCTGAGTGATTTAAGGGATGGTGGACCAAACAGGGAACCCCAAATCGAACTGAAAATGTGGCTTCTGGCAGTGCTGCCCACTTTGCCTGACTGCCTGTGGAAACATTCTTGCTCTGCAGAAAATGCTAAGTAGAGGTCGGTTACTTCATACTTACTGAAGGGTAGAAGTGTGCACCTGAGCAGTCAGTGCAGAGTAGCGCCACTTACGGAGCTGTACCTTTGTTTGCCTTGCAGCAACTTGTCTGTTTTACCATACTTTTCTGGGTTGTCTGCAAAATTCATTGAGGGGCTGAGATGATGAAGTTCTGCAATAATCCAGCGTCACTTCCTTTGCATCTCTGGTGTCATGAACCTACTCTAGCAACAGCCTTTTATGAGTTTATCAGGGTAAACAACACCTCACGTCCTGATGTAAGAACCAAGTATTTTCAGCTCCTTCCTCCTTTGCATGTAATGATATAAACTGATTCCCTGCCCCCTTTTCTTTTATGTCACCCTCAAATCAGGGATTTCTTCACTCTGATTCACTTGAACATACACCCCGCTCCGCAACATATAAAAAATGAATCCGTATTCTCATATCCAGAGAGGCAAAGGCAGCGCACACTCATTGTTTCTGTCTGCCTGTGTCACTTCACTGTCCTTGTTCTCTCTGGCTCCCTGACACTGCCAGACAGGAGAAATATAAAGAACCTCAGTGAGGGAAACTCAGCTCAAAGCAAATGCCTGGTTCAAGTGTTTTCTTGGGACCAGATTTTGGTATGGCTCCATTTTTTCATTTAAAGTTTCTAAAACAACCCAAAACCTAACTAAGAAAAAAAAAAGACCCTTTAAAATCCAGGCTAATTGAGAGAGTGCTAACACTAGTAAGACAAATGAGTGATATGCGACAAGCCTGTGGTTTCTCTTCTAAAGTGAAGTGTTGTTTTCTTCACAATGGCATGATTAATACACTCAGGCAGGAATATTAATAGGCTTGTTCAGTTGTTGCAACATTCTTCCCACTGCTGTGCTATTGAGGCCTTGAAATCCGAGCCCAGGGGACCCTCAGCTCTTCAGTTTCTCATCTGGCACGTTTTGTATGTCAGTCTCAAAGCACATGTTGCAAAGATAGAGCAGCTATCTTTGCAAAGTGCAGCTCGGCACACTTTGCGTTTTACAAATGGGGAAATCAAGGCAGGCAGAAGTGATGTGTCAGTCACCCACTTGCTCCTCTGTAGGTCACCTACTAAATCCTTGACAGTTTAGAAACCGTGTTTGCTCTGTTCTGTGTTGCTCTTTTTACTATGCCATTCTTTCAGAGAGATACTCCAGAGTCAGAATCCTGATTCTATTCATTAAAAAAATCTGGAGTGTTTGGAGTTGTCAGACAGCAGCACAGACCTATTTCTATTCTCCTAGAGCTGCCTTTTAATTTGACTTACCCACCAGAAAGACAGTGACAATGTACTGTATTCTGTCCCTACTCCACCTACTTGTCTCTCAGCCTTCCTCTTCATAGCGCCTGCCTATCCACCAGCCATGCAAAATCAAGGTGCAGTTTCTTCCTGTGATTATGAATTTCCTAGCCTTTCAGAGCAGATAAATTACGGTCCCAATACTGTGTATGCAAAAAACAAGGGACTGATAATCCAAGATACTCTATACGTCTGATGCCAAAAGACTTAGCTTGAAACTGGTGATGGAAAGCCATTCCCATCCAACAGCTGTTCATTGGCCCCTGTGAAATGTATTGGTGGTCTCAGCCCCATTCCACAAGTGAGCAGATCATAAATAGGATCCACACCCAGAGCTTCAGCAGAAAAATTAAAGATAGATTGAGCCACATGGGCACTGATCTCCCTTATCATCCCTGGAGATGACTAACCAGAGAGTAACATTGAACAAATATCATGCTGGGATGAATTTCTCCTAGTACGGTGATTGTTCTCCGGATAACTAGTCTTCAATCTTTTTTGCCTTGAATAGGACTTTACTAATGTAAAGAAACTTTTTGAGTGTTTTTTGTGTTGCTGGTCTGTTTCTAATAGATACTGAGCCACAGCTTTTCTGTTTATCTGATCCTTTCTTATAGCTATGATCCTTGCTTAAAGCCTTACAGCACAGAGAACCCATTAAATTGAGGAATAATGGATGTATTGCCAGTGTTTGACATTTAAAGTTAATAAAACCTGGAGCTGGAGCCCACTGTCCTTCATTGTGGTGCTAGCTTGAAAAGATGCAGATTGTTTGCTAGCATGGGGAATATTTGTCATGCTGAATATGGATGCTGTCACAGCAGAGCAGAGCATGAGAATGGTAAAACATGTTTTGTCTTCATAAAGACCAGCTACACGAACACAGGAGAACCAGTTCTACTACCCCATCCGAAAATGCTGAGGCCAGCCTTGTGCCCTGTGATCAGTTCCCCCAGACAGCTTGCAATACATTCCACTGGGTAACATCTGCTTTCTTTTTACTTCCTCGGGGAACAAATACACGTAAATACGTAGGATTGTTCTTAATATTTCCATTCTATCTGGAAGTGTTGAAAACCTCCACCAGGCATGTCACGTTACATGGAAGATTGCCCATTACTGCTCAAAATAACACTTATTTCATGTGTAGGAGGAGGAGGGAATCTGTTTATTCCAAAATCAATATTTCTACATTCATTAAACACTCCACTTATTCACTTTTTTTTCCATGCCTGTGGTGGCATTCTATCTTTATTTTTATCCTCACCACAAATACATTTTTCTTTTAATTTCCATTCCTATTTCCAGATTTTAGTGCTTTGCATTAGCTGATTGGAGCTTGACAGGTCTGGAGTGTGGGGATGCGGGTGAGTGTCTACCATAGCCCTAATTTTCAACCTGGGATCTAAAACAGGGTGTCTGAGTGCAGAAATCTGCCTGGCAAATTAAATTGATCAGACAATGTATACTTCAAACAGAGTCAAGTGGGAATATTTCCTTGAGCTGCTCTGCTCCTCAGGATATTTGAAATCAGTATTGAATTTGAATTTTCACAGTCTTTATTTTGATGAAAGAAGACAGTAGAAGTTGCCTTCTGTTTCATGCAGAATAGCCCAAACTAAATAAGACTAATTTTCCATGACATGAGAACCAGGTGGGACTATGATGATGAAGTTTAAAAGTAAAAATGATAAAGAAAAAAAAAATCTGTCTGGAAGGGAACTCAAAAGGCAAAGTAGCTCATTATCCTGCCCCAAATAAGGATAATGCTGTGGTTAAAACATTTCTGTAATCCATAGGAATCACAGATCTCATTCTTTACTGCAGAACAGGAACTGTATTGTCTTAGGCAAGCTGGTTGGGCCCTTATTCAAAGATATATAACGAAGTCTAGTTCTGACTGATTTTTCATGAGCATTAGATTCTTAGATATCATTGTAGCTCTTTCCCCAATCTTTCTCTATCTCAGTCTTCAGACTACAGAATAGTGATAAAAGCAGGCCCGCCCTTTTATTTAAGATGACTATCTTGAATATTAAAATTATATGGGCTAGTATGGCAATGTAGTGTAGCGTCATAGGTTGGTGCAAGAATATAGACTGTCCTCCAAGTGTAGAAGGTGTTCCTGCATAGGAAGAATCTGTTCAGTGTTGGTCCAGACAGAGCAGACTTCTAAATATTTCTATGTGAGTAGGAAATTATATAATTTCCCTTTATAGTTCTGTCCTGGTTTCGGCTGGGATAAAGTTAATTTTCTTCGTAGTAGCTGGTACAGTGCTGTGTTTTGGATTCAGCACGAGAATAATGTTGATAACACACCGATGTTTTAGTTGTTGCTAAGTCGTGCTTACGCTAGTCAAGGACTTTTCAGCTCCCTGTGCTCTACCGACTGAGCAGGTGGTCAGCGGGTGGTGAGCAATTGCATCATGCATCACTTGCTTTGTATATTCTTTTATTATTGTTGTTATTATTATTATTTTATTTTATTTCAATTATTAAACTGTCTTTATCT